TCAGAGATACCTGCCCTCACTTTAGCCAGATGTGGCATGCACCTCATGAAACTACTTGTTTCGTTCCCCTTGATGGGAAAACAGTTGGCATGTGAACCATTCAGTCTTTCAGGTAATTGTGCCTAGCTGTGTAATGCAGCTCTGCTCTTTCAAACAGTATTACAAGAAGAATGTTGTCAAGTAGTAAAAGCACTTGCATGTGTTTAAAACAAGTTTTGAAGTCTTAAGATTGAAAGTCAGTCTCATCTTCCTTGTTTCATAGCTCTTGACATAAAAGAATGTTGTGCTTTAGCCCCAATGGGCAGCTCAGCCCCTCACAGCCTCTTGCAGACTCTCCTGCAGTGTGACAGGAGAAAATTGGAAGGGCAAAAGAGGGTTGATACAAAGACAGTTTAATAGGTAAAACAAAATCTGTGCGCACAAGCAAAGCAAACTAAGGAATTTGTTCACCACTTCCTAGGGGCAGGCAGGTGTTTAGTCGTTTCCAGGAAAGCAGAGCTCCAGCACCTGTAGTGGTTACTTGGCAAGACAGACGCCATAACTCGGAACGTCTCCACCCCTTTCTCCTTCTTCACCCCAGGTTTATTGCTGAGCATGGCATCCCATGGCATGGAATATCCCTGTGGTCAGTTGGGGTCAGCTGTCCCAGCTGTGTCCCCTCCCAAGTCCTTGTGCACCCCCAGCCCACTTGCTGGCAGGGCAGTGTGAGAAACAGAAAAAGGCCTCAATGCTGTGTGAGCACTGCCCAGCAATAGCTAAAATACAGATGTGTTATCATCACTGTTTTGGTCACAAGTGCAAAACATAGGTCTACACTAGCTACTATGAAGAAAATCAACTTGATCCCACCCAAAACCACTAAAAAGAATAATTCTAAACAAGCTGAAGACAGGAGAACTTGCAGACCTGTTTGGTTTGGGTTTTTTTTTTGCTTTTGTGTATGCTTCCTTATAAGCAATATTGTAACATAATTAGCTCTTAAAAAAGCATTGCCTTGTATGCAGTGACTAGATTTGAACAGTGTTTGTCTAATCCTAGAAAGAGCCTTTATAGCAGTCTGTGCTCTCTCTGTGCTGCAAATCAAGACTCCTGTGTGAGGTGAAGATCCATATTCTTAGAACCATGAAAATGCTGATTATTCTCTGGCTATGCGTACCAAGCTGAGAAGCAGTGAAACATGAGTATTTGAGATGGGCATTTTCCTTTTTCTGGTTCTTGTAACTGCCTGCTAGTCATAGTAGTTGATGTCTGTTCATTTGAAACAGCACTTTCACTGTAATGGTACATCAAAATCTATGGAGTGTTTGATAAATCTCAGTATTAAAGACGGAAGACTTAATGTCTGTGTAGGATCAGTGGGATGGTATCTGAATTCCAGAAGGATACAGAGTGCATACACATGCTGGACCACCACAGGGCAGCATAATTTAGGAGTTATGAAATGGCACAGGAGAACCAGACAACTCTAGTAGCCTGGGCTTTCACTTCAGGAAAGTGTGTGGGATGCAGTTTCTGTGAGTTCATGTCAGATGCAGACTTCTGTCAGGCACCAGGTATGTTCTTGTGTTAAGAGTAAGGGTGTGATGTTTGCCTGTCGGAGTCCTCTCGGTGACTTTCACTGAATGAGTTTTGCAAAGTTGCGAATACAGGTAATTTCTTAAGGCAACAGATATAACGGGCGGAATTGATGCTGATAAATGCACTTACTGCAATAGCGCTAATACGCTATAATAATGCTGGCCAAGTTTTCCCGGGTATTCTTCGCCAGAGGTGAAGGCATCCCTGTCTTAGGTGGAGGAAGAGCAGCACAGCCCGTCGATCATCTCTTCTAGATCTTCAGTCCCTTTCTCCCAATTTTTACCCCTTATTCTCCTCTTTTTGTTCTCTAATTCTTTGTTTCCCCTTCCATGAGTGATAAAAGGAAGACTAGGGAAAATGTGAGCCCTCTCCAGAAGGAAACGGGAGACCTGGCTACCTGGGACAGGGAGGAGGCTGAGGTACTCAGCAACTTTTTTGCCTCAGTCTTTGCTGCCAAGTGCTGCAGCCACACAGCCGAAGTCTCAGGAGACAAAGGCAGGGACTGGCAGAATGAAGAACTGCACACTGTAGGAGAAAATCTAGTTCAAGACCACCTAAGGAACCTGAAGATGCACAAGTCCATGGGATCTAATGAGAAGCATCTGTGGGTCCTGAGGCAACTGGCGGATGAAGTGGCTAAGCCACTATCCATCATATTTGAGAAGCCATGGCAGTCTGGTGAAGTGCCCACTGACTGGGAAAGGAGAAACCACCCCCATTTTTAAAAAGGGGAAAAAAAGGAAGACCCGGGGGACTACAGGCCAATCAGTCTCACCTCTGTGCCCAGCAAGATCATGGAGCAGATCCTCGTGGAATCTATGCTAGGGCACACGGAAAATAAGGAGGTGATTGGTGACACCCAACACGGCTTCACCTAGGGCAAATCGTGACTGACAAATTTGGTGGCCTTCTGTAGTGGGATTACAGCAATGGTGGACAAGGAAAGAGCGACCAACGTCATCTACCTGAACTTGTGCAAAGCATTTGACACTGTCCCGCATAACATCCTTGTCTCCAAACTGGAGAGAGAGAATGGACCACTCGGTGGATAAGGGATTGGCTAGATGTTAAGTGGCTCACTGTCCAAGTGGAGATCAGTGATAAGTGGCATTCTTCAGGGGTTGGTATTGGGACTGGTGCAGTTTAACATCTATGCTGGCCATATAGACAGTGGGATTGAGTGCACCCTCAGCAAGTTTGCCGATGACACCAAGCTGTGTGGTGCAGTCGACATGCTGGAGGGAAGGGAGGCCATCCAGAGGGACCTGGACAGGCTGGAGAGGTGGGCCTGTGCAAAGTTCATGAAGTTCAACAAGGCCAAGTGCAAAGGTCCTGCACCTGGGTCAGGGCAATCCCAAGCACAGATACAGGCGATGAGTGGATTGAAGCAGCCCTGGGGAGAAGGACTTGGGGGTGTTGGTGGGTGAAAAACTGAACATGAGCCAGCAGTGTGCACCTGCAGCCCAGAAAGCAAAACGCATCCTGGGCTGCATCAAGAGAAGCGTGGCCAGCAGGTTGAGGGAGGTGATTCGGCAGAGGGGCACCTCTGCTCCACTCTGGTGAGACCCCACCTGGAGTACTGCGTGCAGCTCTGGAGCTTCAGCATAAGACAGACATGGACCTGTTGGAGTGGGTCCCAAGGAGGATCATGAAGATGGCCAAGGGGCTGGAGCACCTCCCTTATGCGGACAGGCTGAAAGAGTTGGGGTTGTTCAGCCTGGAGAAGAGAAGGCTCTGAGGAGACCTTCTAGTGGCCTTCTGGTACTTCAAGGGGGCCTAGAGGAAAGGTGGGGAGGGACTCTTGATCAGGGAGTGTAGCGATAGGATGAGGGGTAATGGTTTCAAACCGAAAGAGGGTGGATTTAGATTAGATATTGGGAAGAAATTCTTGATCGTGAGGGTGGTGAGACACTGGCACAGGCTGCCGAGAGAAGCTGTGGCTGGCCCCCCCCATGCCAGGCTTAAAGCC